GCAGAAGGAAGTTTGATCTCATGTTGACCTCATTTACAGCTATTAATTAATCAAACGCAGAATTATTTCAATTATAGGATACCGATGCTATTTTCGATTTATATGTTGCGGCAACAGCCGATAAGTACATTCTGAATGTTGGCGGCGAACGCTGCGACACGGACTGACTGCTCGAGTGAGATGTAACAGGCAACTGAAATCGTGAAAACCGTGAAAAATCTCCGATGGCAGTTTGAACGTGTCTAAAATCCCGTTCGCTCGCTCCCGAGAGAACGGGTCTGAGACAGGATTGCGTGTAATTTCATTTGGATCCGGTGGACGTCGCAATTTGAGAAACCAGGTGGTATCGTTTGATGTGTATGGACTGCGGCAGTAGAATTGCAGAGATGGCTGGTGATGGAGGACGAACTGGTGGGGTGTCGAGGGCGAGGGGAGAGGGCGAGGATGACTGGAGGCAGATAGGCGACAAGGGGATGGGCCTGCAGTGGGGACGGACGGATAACGAGGAGGAAGAAAGAAAGGGAATCGAGAGAAACACACGCAGACTAGATAGAGAAAACGATCATTTCCCGTGGAAGGGGAACGTGGGAGAGATGCAGAGAGAGAATGCGAGAGGGGGAGGGAGGGGACGGATGGACAGACAGAGACGAAGAGAAAGAGAGACTGGGTCCTTCACCCGACGAACGAACCAAACGAATAGCTCGTCGTTGCTGCTGCTGCTGCTGCTGCTTGCGTTTTGCTTGCCTGCCAGTCTACTCCGGACGATTATTATCGTACTGATCTGGCACAATGCACGAAACATTACATGCAACGTTCGTACTGCCGTTATCCAGCTTTCGACACCATGCATCACACTATCACCATCGCGAATCAACCACCGCGTTCTTGCGCGTGAAACTTTCAAGCTCGAGCTTCTCCTTAATACCTGAGCCGTTGGCTTCTCTTTCGCAGAAACAGCATGTCCTCCGAGCAAGGTCTCATTTAGTAATTAACCCGATGGTTCGCTATAATGTACCGACAAGAGGATATCACGTGAATAGTCTCTGCAGAATGCAAATCAGATATTCATACGACTCCTGCGGAGCTCGATAATGTTCTACGCTCGTTAAGTTAAGTGTTGGACAGCCAAATGGAAATACGAATACTTATTGTCGCGAGACAAGTGCCGCGATACGAGAACCAAGGAGACAAGTTCCTTTCTGAGAAACGATCGAACTGCTCAAGGAAAAATTAACAACTTGTGCAAACATATTGGTACACGCGTCCATGTCCGCGAACGATAGGTTTTACAACGTGCTTACAGAATCCCGCGAAAGTAAAGCTGTCGCGAAAGAGATACCAAACGTTCTCTATGGATAACTCTCCAACGTTACTGAGCTCGGCTCTACGTGTATTATCACGGTTTTAAGACAATATTCGTTGAACTACAGGGATACATCTCATCGTAAAAGAGTTTACCAATGCCACAGTATAGCAATCAAAAATATTTCATCCCAGGATTTTACCAGGACGAGTATATAGAGAAACATGGTATATTTATGCACAACTATATATTTCCCAACGATGAATGCAACCCTTTAGAATTTTAATAAGAGAAAGTATCACTGAAATGTCCATTAACTCCACGTCTCGACAACTCGAAATAGTATCAGAAAAAAATTGTAAAACTTTGTGGATACTTAAAATAAATAAATGGAAATAAAATCAACTGTCTGCAATATAGACTGAAGACAATCTGGGTACAGTCCAGTTGGAATAAAGCATAAATCCGAATGTCTCTTTCGATCAATAGTCATTTATCCTATTAGTTTGTCGAAACAATGACGAGCCGAATGGAAATTGTATATCGATGGCTGATCAAACGTTGGCCACATCTACTTCCTTCGTGGAGAACACAAACGCGTACGAGGCCTATTGCTCTTTGATCGTGCTTCTAGGTCGATTTTCCAGTAAATAGGTTCAAAAGGAACTCTGTCCAATCTCGTTGATTGCTTAATGGCAATCAAAGCTGAAATTTGTACATTAGGCAATTATTTACTCTGGGAACTACCTATTACTACGTGCAGTAGATTGCGACGCGCAGTATGGCAAGCGATCTATATACATATATGCATGCATGTCTATATCTGTCAGTCATTTTATTTACCTTTACTTTTATATGTTTTTTTTTTCAAAACAATTTGTTGCACAAGTTAACCGTTATTTTTTGCACGTAACACGCGACTGTACCAGTGAAAATAAAACAGTGCGAGGAAATTTCACTAATAGAAAACCAAAGCGAAATTCCAACCAAATTTCCACTCGCTAAACGAGCTTTGTTACATAGATAGCTATTTTCAGATTGAATTGTTCTGCCGTTTAGAATTTCCTTTCTCCATTTCAGACCAATGTACAGCGAAAACGTGCGAAATGCCTCCTCTATTCTTTTTTGTCTTTCCTTCTTCATTATTCTTTATCCTATGCTTTATCTCGATTCCTGCTAGTGCCCCTCTCTCTGTCAAACCATGGTAAATTCGCATCGGCCATCAGCCGGTGCCAATAACGTACCAAGCAGATGGGAGATGTGGTGAGGGTTTGGTGGTTAGCCCGACATTGGTGGGGGAAAGGGATACTTACTGTCTGCAGGGCCGTATTCATCGATCAACGTACCCTGCTCGATTTATTAGCGGGTAATGCGATATTGGGCAAAAATTGGTGAAATTATTTCAATCAGTAGAGCAACGTTCTCGCAATTTAATTCGCAAATGAATTGGCCACGATACAAATGGCGAAACTACAATTAAAGTTTGTCTTCATAATCGATTACATCTCGGATCAATAAGCCAAAATAAAACTTGAAAATATATACTTTCGCGAACGTACAGCACGACCAGTGTTCTTAATGACACGAAAACTTTCATTTCAACGAATTGAAGAAAGTATGATATATCGAGGTGTACCTTTTTCTACCGCTTAAGCGGATAATTCAAAGTCAAGTGCACACTTGTCTCTCTGCGGAAGTTAATTTGTCGTGCATTTGAGTGCGATCACCAGCCCGCCTTGCCTTTGAACCATTCCTTCGTATCGCACGATAAAACGTCGCATCGTTACACGCGTTTTTCTTCTTTCTTCCTTCTCTTTCCGTGTATAAAACTTCGTCTCTACGCAACTGCCACGCGTATACATTTCCCTGAACGTAGCATCAAACCGAACCAGTTGACCGTACTAAAAACATACGTGAGAAACGCACATATGTATTTCCTTAGCGGCGTGTTTAATCTTCGGGCATTGAATCACGATTTAAATGTAGTTGGCTGTTTCCTGTCCATCTTTTATAGCTATAGAAAAATTACTAGAAAGGAATAGAGAAGTTCATTTATTAAAAAGCAAAGCAGACTGAATGAAATTAACCGCGTAGCAAAAATGAAAATCGAGTGAACAGTATATTAACTTCGACGCATATAGATCTTGGGGGCCATGATTCACAAAAATCGGAGAAATTTTTTACAAATCATTCATAACCTCGTTAGCGACGGAATTTCTTCATACATTATCAAAAAGTATTAAAGATATTTCAGATAAAAGAACATAGCAAGATTTAGACTCTAATTAAATTTCCAAGAATTTCATTAGCTCATTCACCATTCACTGTTAATATTTTTCAATTGAAATTGAATTTTTTTTTTGAAAAAGAACTCAACTTACGAAAATTACTCTTTCGTTGTCTTTTTAAAATCTATTAATATAAGAATGATTATGTTTTCAATTACTTTACTGAAATTAATTAAAAAACATTAATTTTTTAATTTGTCAGAAAAGAGATTGAATGGTTTTCACTTTTTTTTCTTTGTCGGGTAAAAAAGTTACATACTTATTGTTAGGTATACCCCTGACGTTTTTATCTTATTAACGCCATTTCTTTCAAACTCGAGTATAACGTGAAACAATCGTCACGATGTTCGCCCTTTGAAACGATATTAAAATCCAGACAATCGCGAGACAGCTTAACCATTTTGTGAATATCCCAAAAACTATATACGGTTTCTACCACGTCGTAATTATCAGCAAATCCCTGCATTGTTCCATGCACAAAAAACAGATGCATGTATTTCTTATAATTAAAATATCGTATGATAATTTACTTTACTAAAACTGAAAAATTCTCGCATGCACACAACATAGGCTGATATTCGATATTCCATTTTAATTCCGTTTCTTCTTTAATTTACAATATTTAAACTTCATGCGACGAAGGCAACATATGATATATGATTCGAACGACAAGGTCTCAATGAAAATTCTTCGTTTCAACGAAGATTACAAATTTACGACAGAGATTACCGTATCAGTTTCCGTAACCGATGTAGGATAACCCTATCTGATAGATTCCATCGCAAAATAATTATGCAAGTCGCGCAAATTCGATACAGTGATTCAGACGTCAGCGATGAACAAGTAGGCAATAAACCTGCAGCAAGGGACGAAGGATAAGGAGAAAGTAGAAGAAAGTTTTTCGTAACAAGCATTCTTGAAATAACAAACAAAGATGAAGAAAGGAAGATAAGAAAAGAATGATGATACGTTAGAAAAAGTAGTGAGAGATAGA